GTCATCGCTTGTAGGTTGGAGGCCATCGGTATTAGGATGGAGGCCATAGCTTCACGGAATCATGGCATTGCCTTCTCGTCATCTCGGCTCTGATGCTCTGCTTTGAGAGCTTGGCACCTCCGACAAATCTGTATGTGGGCATGGCTAGTCACGTTTTCAATACCACTTGGACACACCTTACATAGCTACTCACAGTGTCAGGTCTGGATTTATTGCAAGAACGCTTCTTCTTCCCGCACTTTTCTCGAGAGTTGCTCGTTCGCTGTCACCTCCTTTGAGAGCTGCACTGGTGCTCGCCGCAGACGCGGTGGTCTCCTCATATCCATTGGCGCTCGCCTCCCAAAAAGCGCAAGGCGTGGCTCTTACGTTTCTTAGGCCCAGAACAAGGGCTCGCTACTAGTAACAAGGGCATCGCTACAAGCAACAAGTGCCTCGCTACTAGTAACAAGGGCATCGCTACTAGTAGCTAGAAGCTGCTGGGAACAAGGGCATCGTTGAGAGACCGTTTTCTTTTTTAGCCCGGGGGGATAGGACGCTTAGAGGAAGAGGTGGCTAGTAGCTACTTAAGCTACTAGTAACGCAGGATAGCTCACGCATGCAGATGCTCTCACCTCTTCAGCAGCTTTGCCATCCCAACGCGAAAGCTGAGGTCCTAGTGCTTCGCTCTGCCTCAAATGGTGAAACGAGACAAGCCCAGTGGACAGCAGCTATCCCATAGCTGACCATAGATGCCGATGGTCAGTCTTCACATCGCGTAGCTCATGCATGCTACTAGGAGCAAGGACGCTACTAGAGGCTCCTGGCCCTACTAGGAGCAAGAAGCTACTAGTAACAAAGGGCATCGCTACGAACGGAGCAAGAACGCATTTTGAAAGAGATTTGCTGAGATTTCATGGTTTGCGTCTTTTCGCCACACGGGCCCTTTGGCCATGCTGCCACGGCCGCTTCAAGGCGGTGATGAGTCGACGGGCCCAAGCATCCCAGGGCAAAGGTGCATGGGTGGCATCAGTCAAAAGTGCATCAAACCTCAAACGGCGCAGATTTGACGTCTGAGATTTGACTCCACTGTAGAGGTTTAGAAAGGGAACGATTAACGCAAAAATTAAATTAGCCCAGCTGGAGACCCCAATAGCAAGATACAAACCGGGACAAAAAGAAAAATCTGGAAACAGCTGCTGTTTTCAACACATCGACCATCTCTTCCTTGGACACCATCATCACATAACCGGACACCATCACAAAATGACCAGGGCACCATCAAAACATGACCGAGACACCGTCACAACATGATTGGGACACCATCACAACATAACCGGGACACCATCACAAGGTGACCGGGACACCAGCATGACATGACGGGGACACCATCACAACATGACCGGGACACTATCACAACATGACCGGGACACCGTCACATGACCCGGACACCATCAAAACATAACCAGCACACCGCCAAAACATGACCAGGAAACCATCACAACAGGACCGGGACACCATCAAAACATGACCGGGACACCGTCACAACACGACCGGCACACCATCAAAACATGACCGGGACACCATCACAACATGACCGGGACACCATCAAAACATGACCGGGACACCATCAAAACAGGACCGGGACACCATCACAACATGACTGGGACACAATCAAAACATGATCGGGACACCATCACAACATGACCGCGCCACCATCACATGATCGGGACACCATCAAAACATGACCGGGACACCGTCACAACATGACTGGGACACAATCACAACATGACCGGGACACCATCACAAGATGACCAGGACACCATCACAACATGACCGGGACACCATCCGCCCACCAGCTCTGACGGTGACCCGACGGCGCCCGTCCGCCTATTAGTTAGCATGGCTATTGGGGAAGAAAGGCCAATTTTGGCCAAGGCACAAAGAAGGCCAAACTTCTAGAGCTCCAGGCAGCAACAGCCGTTCGGCCATTTGGTGCAAGGCCTGCCGTGGAGCCCCGTTCGTAGCGTCCGATCGCTCTTAGTAGCGTCCTTGTTACTACTAGTAAGGCACTTGTTACTAGAAGCGATGCACTTGTTCCTAGTAGCGTCCGATCGCTCCTAGTAGTAAGGCACTTGTTTCTAATAGCTTCTTGTTACTACTAGTAAGGCACCTGTTACTACTAGCGTGGCACTTGTTACTACTAGTAAGGCACTAGTATGTTCAACAAGAACGCCACCTTGAACCGTAACAGAATCGAAGGCAGTCACCGTTTAGTTGCCTGGCGCAAAGCACGGCTGTGCTCGAGCAGCTGGGAGGAAGCATTGGTGCCTTTGTCCGAAAAATAGAACGGAAGAACTTTGTCCTTAAGGACACCAGGACATGAAGCGTGATGGGGTGAATGAAGCAAGTCTAAGTTCCCAGTGTCAAGTGACTTCGGTTGCCAAAAAAAGGCCAAGTGTGATGCACACGGCCAGGATATTTCACAAGGGCTTTGACACGAAGATTGGTTGCGCATGTCAAAGCTCCCAAACCATTCGCACTCTGACTCTGGCCTGGTGTTAAGGCTTCGCGTAAGGAGGATTGTTTGGCGCAAGACTCCAAAGCCAACTCCTCGGATTAAAAACAGGTCTCAAAACAACAAAGCACACCTCGTGAGGAGGATCATCTGACAAGTTGCAAATGCATTTGACCGTAGGAGCACCTGCATAAAGCTCAGATGCCATGAACCTGGCGCCAGTTTTGAGGGAAATGTTTTTGGAAGAATTGCCAGACCCAAGACGAGTTGTTCATTTTCCAGAGCACAAAGCTTTTGCTTTTTTTACACGCTCCCCCCCTTCCCTACTTAATTAAGTAAGCGCCTACTTAATTAAGTAAGGGAGAAGCTGGTAGCTGAAGCAAGGAACTGTTTCTTCTTTGGACCTTGCGTCCTTCCTTCCCTTCCCTTCCCTTCCCTTCCCTTTCCTTTCCCTTCCGTTCCGTTCCGTTCCGTTCCCTTCCTTCTCTCTTTCTTGCTTGTGTCGAATCACATTTGGCTTTTCAGTCCACAAACTGCAGTATCTCTTCTTGCAGGAAGGAATTGCATCTGCTCAGAAGCGAATTTTGTTGAGATGTATTCTACATAAACTACTAGGAGCAAGGATGCTACTAGGGGCTCCTGGCCTTACTACTCTGTGGCATTAGATGTCACTCAATACGAGGCACTCAAAATAGGGGATGAAAGTTTAATAGCATCAGTGTGTGACGAACACCACTCACACCCCAGGCCTGTTTTCATTTGAAGCACATAGACCTAGCTTTGTGCAATGCACAAAAGGTTGAAGTCAAGAGCTTTCCAGCAGCAAACTAGAAGCTATTAGGAACAAGAAGCTGCTAGGGGCTCCTGGCCTTACTACTAGGAGCAAGGACACTACTAGGGGCTCCTGGCATCGCTACTAGGAGCATTCTTACGACTAGTATCCTTGGATAAAGCCTTGACACAGCTCCAAAGCTGTGCGCGGTTTCAGTGTCTGGCTGCTCCAGCCTCTGAGTTGCTGCACTGCTCCAGCCAGTGGGATAGAAGCCATGCTGCCTGCTTTCCGTCAAGAAACAGACCGTAACGAGTGAAGGTTTCGTCTGAAACCAATGCTTAGAACTTTTGATGGTAAGGTATTAACAACATCCATTCCCTAACACAAGCCAAGCATCCGGTACTTCAGAAATGTGTTCCGAACCTAACTGAAAAATTGTACCGAACCTATACTTGTATGGATAATTGATGGTATTTGGCATTCCTGTCAGAAACTCCTCTCTGTCTTACTGAGTACCTGTGAATTGTTCCTTGTCGCTAGGACCCTGGCGCTATGCGGTGAGCTCAAGGCTCTGGCACGTTGCTCCAAGGTCGCCGTCAGCTCGTCGGCACCCAACTCGCCAAATGTCAAAGCCGAAAAAAAAAAAAAACATGTATTAATAGCAATAAAAATAAACAAATAAAACAAAAGTAGTTCCAAATCTCAAAGATGCAGAAGAAAGACCCATCATGTGGCTTGTCAATCCCGAGAAAGAACTGGGTCTTTGCTGAAGCAACATATTGTCCAAAGAAAAACCAAGGATGGGGTCGGCACAACTAGCGATTTCTTGAGTTTTCAAAAATCTTCGGGAAGCGTACACATTCATTGCTCCACTTGGAATACTGGCAGAAAACTTCCGGCCACAACACAAGAGAAACAAACTCTTTGGTCACCAGAGCGCGTTCTTTACAATGTGCCAGTTGCTACCTTTTTCTCTTTTGGTCTTGGATCTCAACGCCGTTCAACCACTTTTCTAAGGCCCAAAGAGGCCTACGAACCTACTAGGAGCAAAGAGCATCGCTACTAGTAGCAAGGACGCTACTAGGGGCTCCTGGCCGAACGCTACGAACGTAGCAAAGAGGCCTAGGAACCTTTCTTCTCTTTCACTATTTGCCATGTGCTTCCCACCTCCCGCACCAAAGAAGCCACACGGCCACTGAGCCAGGAGGCCATGGGATGCTTGAAAGAAAATGGACGAAGTTTTTCTATGCTATAAAACACATAAAAGGATGCCTTGCTAGGAGAGAAGTAAAGCAATATGGACGCACAACCATAGCAAAGCGTACTTATCAGACTTTTGCGCTGGCCCATGTTGGCCTTTTGCCCACTTGCGTGGAACAGTTTTGCTTTATTTCCTACGCGCTCCGTGACTGGCCGCCCTGGCAACGCTGAAATCCTTTTTGACCAAACATGGTGGAATCTTTCCTCGTGATGGACATGAATGGAGCTGGACGGTGACGGTGGTGTAATTGTTGCTTGAGAATCAAATCCAACAGACCTATCCAGGAAACATACTGCAGTCACCGCACACCCGGCGTTTTGGCGTTTCGATGTGTCAGCCAACTTCGAATCCAACCTGGTGCGGTCTTTACGCCTCTCCTGGAAGAAGTTCACCGTGGCTTCTGGCGCTGCTTCCAACAGCTGACTCACATCTACAATCCTGAGGTGAACAAATCTCTTCACTGCTCAAACGTTTCCACAAAGAAATGGAAAATACCCACAGGCGCTGGCAAAGCATCACCTCTTCTGGTTCTGTTGTGCCAGTTCCTTTGTGCCAAACGCCAAGTCACAAATTCCCATTCTGCAACTGCTCCTGTGTTGATCAGGTGATCATAGCATGTTTTGATTTCCAAGCGTTGCTCTGCTTGCGACCTAAATGAATGAACCTACCCGCTATCAAGTTGTTCAAAAATTTTTGCAATATACAATACGTTGAGACGTCGGCTCACCCAAAACAAACGATTGGGTCTTGTGCAATGGATGCGCAAGAAATACCAAGATCCGTACCAAAACCGCTCTCATGAAGCCATTTGCCATCGAAAGCTCACAGCCACAGCTGGCACGAAATCATGCAAATCCCGAATGATTCACATGCGTTTGATTCGGGTGGCCGGTGGTGTGTATGTGTGTCTATGTCCTGGCAAGCTGTTTCAAGTACAAAATGGCTGCTTTGAAGTCGCACTCGTGTGAAACGTTTTCCCCAGGGTTCATTCAAGGAAAAAACATAAACCGCGGTTGCTGGATCAAGTCACTTCCAAAATGACACCCATGTAAACAAGAAAAGTCACCAAAAATCATGCAACATGTTGGGTCAACGGGGGGTGTTAGCCCCGCCCGTAACATGTGGTCTGGTCTTTTCGGGTTTGGGGGGGGGGGGGGGGGGGGGGGGGGTGGGGTCAGTTTCATCCTGGTTACGACTCGCGTACATCGTCTACGTACTTCATTGGTCCACCCGGTTCCTTGTAGGTTCGCTCGGTCACGATTCGTTCGCTGGACGACCCGCTTGTCTCGGCTTACAGGACATGACGGGTTCCACTTTGGAGGTTTGTTTGTGTTTGTCGTTGGTTCTGTTGTTGCGTTTGGTCGGTTTGAGGTGCCCTTCCCCCAATGAGCATTTGAAGGTTTTTTTTTACGACCGACCCCTTTCTTTTGGACGCTCACATAGACGTTTGTACCCGTGCCTCAGATCCGACTATCTCTTTTGTTCAGGAGGTTGCATTGTTAAACTGTCGTTCTCCGTTACGGTTTGACCGTCTCGTCGCTTTTCGTTCGGTTTTGTTTGATGTTTGGACTTCTCACTTTCATCGACACCATATGTCTTTTACACCTGTCATGTGGAGTGCATTATGGGTTCTTTCCAGGCGTTTGTTGCAAATTAGAGATGTTCAACTAAACAGACATGTCAATGTCCAGCATTCTAGTACTAGACAGCCTTCCATGGACACGCCATGTGTGACTCCCGCGATGGACACGTGGGATCCGGATCCTCGCGAGCGTACGCCCCGGCGGACGACACAGACGACCACGCCCGTGCTGGACTCACCCGAACTCGCGTCCAAGCGACGTGAGTTGCAACCTTTGATAGATCTGACGGAGTCTCCGCCACGATCTATGTCGGCTGCGCACACGCCCATGAAAGAGGAAGCTTTCTCCGAATTATTCGTTACGTTTTGGCAGACATGTGAACATATAAGAATTTGTTTTTTTTCGGAAACCTCGTTCTTGTAAAAACCACATGAGGAAGATGATTCGGAGTCTTTGTCACCGCCGAATGAATGGGACAGCCCGCCGCACAGACAGGCCAAGATTCAGTATTGGACCAAGCATAGCACACCACCCTGGCAGAGCAACCGCAGAGAGTCAATAGCGGGGCCGCTGGCTCTTCTCTCGAGTCTTCTTGGTATTATGCTTTTGTTGTTTGTCTCCGTGGCAATTTTTTGTTTTGTCGCTTGTCGTGACCTTTTGGAGATTCGAACATATCCGGACCGAGTGACCATGGCCTTTTTGAATCTCAGGACACCAATGCCGCTTGCACTGGGGATGCACAAGGGTCTGCTGAAGACAGACCAGGCCGCGTACCAAGTGGGGACGCTGTCCACTTTGTGAGTACTCCTTGAGACCTCATTTGTACCAGAGTGGACCATACCGTGGATCCTTTCGACTTTTGTGTTCCCAGATTTGGATACTTGAGGATGGCCGCAGACAGTGTTGGAACTCCATACCGGTTCCTGCACTCATGTGGTCTAAATTACCTCGTTTTCTTCGACAGAGGTACCATGAGCTACCAGCCTCACTGCTGCGCAATGCGCAAGGACCTTGAAGTGGAGACTGCACGAACAGACATCGCTGCAAAAATGTTGAACGGGTGCTCAATCCGGAACGCGATTTCACTTGTTGTTGAACATTCCTGCGGAAAGCATATGCATATCTATATATATAGAAATACATGCTCTCTGTCTAAAATATATATATATAGAGTGGTTTCCTATATGTATATGTATATTTCTCTATCTCCTCTCTCTGAGTATGTATATATTTCCTCTCTCCTGACAACAGACGTCCTTGACTCAGTTTTTTGGTGGGACATTGAAAATCTGTTCGATCGCCAGACTGTGCCAGAGAGACGAATGTATTTTGGCCTTGGTTCGAGCTCCGTTTAATGTAGTTTCCTTGGCTCTACATTTCTGAGCCATGAAAGGCAACTTGTCTGACGACAGAGAAAGATATGAATCTGAGAGGCCCAAGCCTACTTCCAGAACTGTGGCCACGGCCAAAGGCACAAACCGAAAGCACTGGAAGTTAGGCATCAGATATGCCACTCGGAAATTCCAATCAAGAGGGAAACTGCGCGCTTTAAGACAAGTCGGTTTTCCGACTGTTCTGTCTTGGCCGGAGAAGAAATGTTTTTTCATTCTAAAGACGGCTGGTGTGTTCGGAGATCGGCGCAACAGACGTTGTTGGGTGTGCAAAGCTGCAATGGTTCCAGAGTCGCAGACACAAGCTTACAGATGTGTCAACCGACAATGTTCGGGCCAGAGACCACGTCTTTACTCCTGGCAATTCTCCTTCACTCCTTTTGGAGGACGTCTCAGAGGAGGTCATCCCAAGGACTGCAAAGCCTTTGTCTGTGCTGCGTACTTGTGTTCCTTGAGGTGCCCTCAAGATTCATCATGGCATGTGCTGGGTCGCTCACAAGACTACACTGATTTGACTTTTCGACAGCTACGTGTACGTTGAGGGCCTCGCAGCGTTGTGGTTCAGCCAACATCCTGGGTTGGACGCAATGCTCGAGGCTGTCAGGATACATAGGGAAGCTGTGCAAAACACTTGTCCGCCAAGCTGCCATGTATACTGAGCTGAAATGGCTCCACTGGGACCAAGACTAATGCCTAGCAGGTGGAAAATCACTTTCGCGCCATGGACAAGGAGCAGGCGGGTCGGTGAATACGTCCGTCACAATGCATTCAACTTATCGTCTTGCAACTCATGAGTTGCAAGACGATAAGTTGAGTGTCCGGAAAGCCACTTTACCCTGTAAAAAACAAGGTTTTTTGACCCTCGGTGCGTTGCGTCCGGGGCTAACCCCCCCCGTTTACCCAACATGTTGGTTGGGGGTGACTCGCCAGCACATCTGTCTAGCTTTAGCACTAAAGGTTGCTATCCCGGCAAGAGACCCCAGCGTGTTGAGGTTTAGAGATATAAGGTCTACAGGTGTAGATGCAGAAGGTATTGGGTTCAACGAAATCTCGGGATGTAGAAGTCTAGAGATCCTCAGGTTTAAAGTTTAAAGGCTTAGAAAATTGAGTGAACAAACCAGGCGGGACGTAGGGGAACGCCCAGCTAACTACCGGAAGGTGGTAAAAGAAGTAGGCTATGTCCCTGGCCGCTCTATCTACGTTAATGGGAGCACGGGGCGAGTCGGACGGACGAGACCCCGTGGTTGGAAAGTGCAAGCGAACGAGAGCACGACGGCGGTCGAACGAAAGCACGGAGACGAAAGGTGCAGAAGCGAAAGCAACGAAGGGGAATGTCAACCACAGGTTGGCAGACCCGGCACCCTGAAGAAAAGCAAGCGGGCGCTCACTTTTCTTGAGCCAGGTGTGCGACGGTTGGCACATGTGTTTTACATGTGACTTGTGAACCGTAGCTAAATAGGTAGACATGTACAAGTAGTGAATAGCAGTTACATACTAGGGGTCCTCCAAAAATGACTCCCCCCTCCCCGATGTGGGGCAGCTACACTTTGTACATGCACGAATTACCGCGCCAGACGGCAGCGGTTACAAGGACCTACGAAGGCTTCGAACTGCTTGGAAGGCTCCTATCTGTCTTTGACGGTGTTATGTCTTTAAGATCAGTACGAAGGCCGAGCAAGCATAATGCTTTGAAAAAAGCTTTGTGGTGGCAATGCCTTAGTGAAAATGTCGGCAGCTTGCTCATTGGTGTCAATGTATCTGATCTCGACAGATGGGTCGTCGATGCATTCTCTTAACGAACTGAGGTTTATCTTTTGTGTTCGGCTGATGCGTCGTAGCTTGGGGGAAAAGCCCTTCTTTACTACCAGAATCGTGGCCTGGTTATCTTCTTGTATTACGAGGTTAACAGCCCGTCCAAGAAGTTTATCCCATAGCTGTAATGAAGGGAGGCCTTCTTGATACAACGAATAGGCTAAACTTACCACTTCCGATTCTGTAGTGGACCTTGACGTAGAGGTCTGGCGCTTAGACACCCATGCCAGTGGATAATGGGTGTTAGGACCCTTAAGTACTAAGTATCCACCGGAGGTGGACTTCACGTCATGTTGGTCGCCACCAAAGTCGGCATCCACAAACAATTCTAGCCACAGCTCACTAGGATCATCGCCGCAGACGGCGGTTAACCTATAATCTAGTGAGTGTTGGATGTACTGGATGTACTGGATTAGCCGTAGCAACTTTTTGTCGTGCACACGGGTCCATTTCTGTACTTTAGTGGCTAGGTCATTAATTGGTTTAAGGATGTCGGGTCGCGCTAGCCTGGCGAGCCAGAGGGCTTTCATCAGGATAGAACATGCTTTTGGGGCGAGCTCTCCGGGCGACTCCTCATCAGCCGTGGTGAATGCGCCGTCTACAAGAAATGGCGTTTGGGCTGACTTTATTTTATCAACACCGGCCACCGACTTGTAGAGGTCGATGGTTTGCTGCGCGTAGTCTTTCATGTCGAAGATTAAGGCGTCAGCACTACCGCGCAAAGCAGCGGTTTCGGTGTTTCCTGAATCTGGGACAACCGCGTAGATGTGGTTCCTTCCTAGCATTCTGTAAATGGGCTCGGGTGGTTCAACGTTAACAACATTCGTGAGTTCTGACCAAAACTTTTGGTGGTGTTCCCGTGGGCCTGCCAAAGTGAGGTCGTCAACGTATGTGGATAACATCAAACGAGGACCAGAAAACCAGAAGTTACCGGGGAACTCTGGGATTTCTTCGCCACCCATCTTCTTAAGAATGCCCTTTAAATGCTGTTCCCACATCCCTCCTGCGTCAGGATGTCCATACAGCGCCTTAACAAGAAGGACCACTGGTTGAACAAATTTG